CAAACTCCTTCAAATGTCTCGCAAATCCACAAATCTGGGAATCTATAAAGAAAACCAAACCAGACTGACACAGATTAATTTATCTCACAGTTGCGAACTGGTGACTTGGTAAATGCACAAACTTGTTCCAATGAATGCAGCTGCCCGTGTGGAAACAATTGCCTCCCAGCCTCTCATTAGCTAAGTACTTTCACTGCTGCCGTGTCACATTGTCAGTCCACATCTCCCTATACAGCTGCCTCCTCTGGCTCTAGTTGGGGAAGCATCAAACCTTATAAGATGATTTATGTTCTTCACTGTCCTGAGCAGGCACATTCTCTTAACTCGGGCCAAAGTGACAGGACAAGGGGGAAAAGCTTTAACCTGCCAGAGGAGAGACTGAGATGAGCTCTTAGGCAGAAGTTCTTCCCTGTGAGGGTGCTGAGGCGCTGGCACAGGATGCCCAGAGAAGCTGTGGCTGCCCCATCCCTGGCAGTGTTCAAGGCCAGGTTGGAAGGGGCTTGAAGGAACCTGCTCCAGTGGAAGGTGTCCCTGCCCATGGCAGGGGGTTGGAGCTGGATAAGCTTTAAGGTCCCTTCCAACCCAAACCAGTCTGGGATTCTATGATTCTATAAAAGTGCTTTTAGATCACAATGTATTGGAGAAACAGTGCATGATGTGCCAGAAGGAGATGAGAGACAGAATGGGACCCAGCAACAGCTCAGTCTGCACTTTAATTAGGCCTTTATTTTTCACTACCTTTTAGGACACTTTCCATCAACCAGTGCACCAATAGCATATAATCTAGATCTTCAGATTAATTTTGGGGCAGTCATCAGTGGTCATAACATGGTATAAAGACATGTGAAACCGAGGAAGAGAGTTAAAGATGCCATCCCAAGGGGAACTTACTGAATGCCCTTTTGACCTGCAGTTCTCCCAGGAGGTGCTCAGCTCTGGTGTGCACTGGATCTGTCTGTCTCTGTCTCTGCATCCTGGCAGCCTATACCTGACACAGGGAACACTTCAGGAGACTACTGCTCTCTGCAGGTGGGGTTGTAAATTGTGATGATGGAAGGGTGTGAGATGTGTTGTCATCTCGCCTGACAACCAAACTGATTCTGAAGCTAACAAAAAGATGACAGATATTCACACAAACCTCCTCCTCTGTGTAGCTCTGAGATGTCTTATACTTCCCTGTGCTGGTCTATTTTATCCTCTAATGCAGATGCCTATTCTCCTTGCCAGCATTCTTGTGGTTTCTGGACAGGTTCTGCTGAATAGTGTTGTCATCAATTTATTCAGACGTTCTGACCCATGAATAACTGCACTTTGTTTTCTACTGTTTAGTGAAGATGGTGAAGTTCTTCCTTAATCTTCCTAAAAACCTTTAAGGAACACTTGGTTCTTCAACATTTGTTCTTCAACAAAAGCTCAGGGATTGAGTTTCTCTACATGTCACCTTACTTCTTACAAGATGCCTGGCTCTTACTGTAGTGATATTTAAACCTTGTGTATGGCATTCTAGTCTATACAGCTCCATTCACTTTGATGAAGCTCTGCTGATTCACATCCACTTAAATTCTTGCCCATGGCTCAGGGTTTAGGTATACATTTTAAGATTAAATTAAAACAAATCTAGGTTGGCTTTACCCTTGGTTGCTGGCCTATGCTGCTTTATGAATAGTCTGCGTGGTCAGTAATGGCAGGACTCAGTTAGTGCACTTTTGCACTCTGATATGGTACAAACTCCATTCATAGACAGAATTTCAAGAAGATCAAAAATCTGAAAAGAAAAACCCCAGTCTTGGCATCTGAAACAGAGTTCCAACCCCTTCCCTCAGTTCCTCCATGCTTCCCTTGGGCTGTCTGAGAAATAACAGATGCAAATGGGTTACATTTGAAAGCACAGCATTTCCTCCACAGCTGATACAGTGTGAAAACCCATCTGAAGCCCAGCAGACATACCCATGAGCTAGTCGCCTCTGAGCTTTGCCAAGAATGATACATTTCACCGTACTCTGCTATAAAGAGAAAACCAGACAACCACCTACTGGCTGCAGCACAGAGCTGAGAACCCCTTATTTCTCCAGCCTGCAGAATACCAGTTAAACACATCTCAAGCCATCTATTCCTAGTAGGACCTTAATGAAGGGCAAAGTTAACTTGCTTCTGCCCCTAGAAGCATGCTCCTTTTTTTTTCTCCTTCCTATCAGGTGAAGCTATTTCTCTTCTTTGTTTCTGAGGCTGCAAGCCAGAGCTGAAGTAAAATCAGTCTGCTGTCTGATGAGCTTTTGATGAAATTCAAGGCTCAAGTACTGTATTTCTTGATTTATTTAGCATTCAAACATCCCCTGCTTCTTCAGTTCTGCGCCTCAGCCTCTGGCAGTTTCAGAGTGGGGCTGCTTTCTCTAGAACAGCTGTAAGCTAAAAGACGACCTTCTGCTAGGTTCGGATATGCCTCTGGTAAAAGGATAGCCTGTCTCCAAATGACACTTCTGAGCTGCGTATCTGTATTCCTTTAGTGATTTACATGTCACGTGTATGTACTTAACATGCCCAGATATATGCTGGCTTTTTGTCTGCTTATTTTTCCTGTGGTTATTGCTATCAGCACTTCCAGCTCAGGTTATAAAACTCAAGCAGCTTTCGGTTTGTTTCATGTATCATCACTAAAAGCAGATAGCAGATAACAGCTTATTTCAGCCAGCACAGTATTTGCCACCAGACATTAAAGAAGTGAGCAGACACAAGGAAACGAAATTAGCTTTCATGTGTTCCTCTCACAGCCCCTATGAAATTAAACTGCAGAAACTGGAAAAGAATTAATCCTAAAACCTCTTGTCTAGACTAAGCAACTATGGCATAAAGGAAAACTTCAGTGAGTCTCTCTCTGCTCAACCCAGCTCAGTGGCCACATATCACTGGGAACTGAAAAATGCTTTAGCCTCAGTGACATTATGTCCACCCAGCAGATTTCCCCTGTGATCCCTGGAAGAATGAAATGCCAATTGCTGTGCCATCCTTCACTACCCTGTAAAGACTGCAACTCTATGAAGTGTAGCTGTCTAGGCATGCCATTCACAAAGAAATACAATTGCTGTGCTCTCCCCTGGGCCTTGTATGGCTGTTAACAGTCCACAGAGAATACCAGAGAGGAGGAGGGCTGGCTAACATGGTGCTGGTTTTGAGCCGCAGGTCCAGCAGCTGGGCTTGTTATGAGGAATGCTAATCCAGATGCACAGGCTGAATTTGTGTTCCAAGCCTCCTGAAGCCCCTGCGCACTGCTACCATCTGCCATGCAATATGTCAAATGAGTGTTGAACTCCCCCACAAAATAGTTACACAGATACTTGTCAAAAGAAAGGCAGAAGAACCTTTGCTGAGGCATTATCTTGACTTTATCTGAGTAACTGGCTACTGTCCAAAGCCTGGAAAGCAATGGATGTGTTAATTTACCATGAAAACAGGATCAGCTTCTAAGAGATACCTTATTGTTTACAACATGAGCCTGGGTTTTTCCCCTGCAACACCTGCAGGAGGTTGCAATGTTAAGATTTGATCCAATTTAATATTTTTTTCTGAGACACCATTAGGCAAACCTCACTGCTGTGTATATTCCACTATGAATTCAAAATCTCACGTATATATAGAAGTATCTAATCTGCAAGCACTGTACAACCCAGCTTTCTGGAATGTGTGCTGCACCCCCAGAGCGTGAGGAGCAGGTCGAGGGAAGAGATTCTCCCTCTGCTGCACTCTGGGGAGACCAACCCTACAGTCCTGATCCAGCTCTGGGGAAACAGCACAACACGGACGTGGAGCTGCTGGAGTGAATCCAGAGGAGGCCACGGAGATGCTGTGAGGGCTGCAGCAGCTCTGCTATGGAGCCAGGCTGAGAGAGTCGGGCTGCTTCAGCCTGGAGAAGAGAAGGCCCCTTAAGGGGAGGCCTTACAACAGCTTTAGTGCCTAAAGGGGCTACAGGAAAGCTGGAGAGGGGCTTTGGAAAAGGGCCTGTAGGGACAAGACAAGGGGAATGGCTTTAACCTGCCAGAGGGGAGAGCTCTTAGGCAGAAGTTCTTCCTTGTGAGGGTGCTGAGGTGCTGGCACAGGGTGCCCAGAGAAGCTGTGGCTGCCCCATCCCTGGCAGTGTTCAAGGCCAGGTTGGAATGGGGCTTGGAGCACCCTGCTCTAGTGGAAGGTGTCCCTGCCTGTGGCAGGGGGTTGGAACTGGATGAGCTTTAAGGTCCCTTCCAAGCCAAACCATTCTGTGATTTTACGACTTTGCTTAACACATGTTAAGTCTTCAGCCAAAAGCGATACTCATGACAATGTGCTTCACTGCATAACTCTGCAAGGTATGAAACTATGTCTTTTTAATTGCATCGTGTCCCTGAATTCTTGTTCTTTCAGACAGTAAGAAAAACATTATCTGCCTTATTACACATTCATCTTTTCTTATATTACATTCATTCTCCAGTTTATACAATTTAAGCCCTGTTCCTGCTTATTCAAACCCTGCAGCAAGAAAAACAGTTAAGTCTAATATCTGTCTCCTCCCTTCATCTTTAACTTGGGGTGGATTTGCCAGGTTGGAGTCTGCAACCCCCATTAACATCACCCAACACAATGCACATGCAATGCGGAATGACCCAAGAAAAGGTCATGTCGTGTGCAATCCTACTAACATCTATTTAGGTTGAATTTGAACTTGCTTGAATTAAAACAAACCTCTTCCATTTGTTGGTACTGATAAAGACTAGATAAGCAGCAACTGATGAGACTTCAGGCTGAAAGTTATCTATGGCATGGAGTGCAAACTCTTACTTTGAAGTTTTCCAACTGCTCTCAGTGAGGCACCATTAGTTTTCAGGGGACAAAATACTTTCTCAAGACTGTCCTGGCCCCTGCCTTTTATCATCACTGAAACAGTGCATATGGACAACAGAAGCAGCATTTGCAAGGCAACTCAAATGGATCCCATCCCACACCCATCCCAACATGAAAAGTGGAATCCTTACCTGCCCCCCTTTAGGCTGGTATTTGATATTATCTGTTGATCCAATTTTGGACCTGACGTTCTTGAGGTCAGGTAGAGGCTGATTAATAACCCGTAGCTGCTTTGGAGTGGCTGGAGATTTAGGAGGAGTGCGAATTATGGCAACCTTTTTCTCAGTAGGTACCAGTATGGCAGATTTGGGGGTGCCAGGAGTGTGTGGGGTCCTGGAGTAGCTGGGTGTCCCTGGAGTGCCTGGGGTACGGGAGGCATAGCTTGGTGGTGTCCCTGGAGTGATGGCAGTGGAGCCTGGAGTAGTGGGAGTCGAAGTTCCACTTTTTCCTGTTCTGCTACGAATTGGCTCTGATCCTACATCCAGGACAAAAACTAGCATTAGACCCACAGAAATACAGCTCTTCTTCCCTATGCTCCTCCCAGTGCTGCATCCCTGTGTGCCAGGAGAGATACAGTTCTAAGATGGTAGAATGGCACACTGGATGTCTATCTCTGTGTCTTACTTTGCCCATCAACCTGTCAGGAGTTACCTTGTCATGTATGGTTGAGCTGGTTAACTCCCCATATGGTGACTGAGTTCCCTGTTTTGTAACACAGCCATGCTTCCCACAAAGCTCACTAAATGAGGCACAATACCACACTGATTTCCATTTTGGGTAAAGGACGAGAAGCACCCTTGGAATCTAACCTGACATTGAGGGACTCAATCTGACAACCTGACTAGCCAGTAAGAATGCTGTCACCAATTTCAATGGATTTGAGCATTGAACTAGAGAGTGGGAAAAATTCTGATCGTAATACTGAAACTAAAGGCTCTAAGTGCCTGGCAGCTGCTAGTCACATACCACTGCTGGTTATCCAGTGTCTGCAGCTGTTCCCTGGGTCAGCATTCAGCTAATGAACAAGTCATAGCTCTGTTGTGTGGATAGGCAGATGTCCCTCACATTCAATTGCTATTTTTCACTAGTGCAGTGAAAGAAAGCAATTAGAGAAGTCAACCTAGCTGAAAAGTCACATTCTAGTTACATCTGCATGTGAGTTAGAAATAAATAAATATTGTAATGTTTTATAGCAGCTCCACTCAGTGCTTGTGGCATTGCCAGTCATCCTCACTGAGCACAAGAACAGTTTAGTATTGGCACTGTGTTTTCTGCAGCCAGCTCTGCTCGTAACTCTCAAACACAAATAAACAAGCTGAGGTACTTCCATATGCTGCTTTAAGTAAAGCTCCACTGAGAATACTCAGAGAGAGAAAGACCAAACCAACCCTCAAAGCCTGGAAACCCCAGTGCTGGATAGGTGCATGTACATTTTCACCTTTGAAATGTTCAGGAGTTATAAATCCAATGGGCCTCTCTAGAGCATCCAGTGGGGCTAATAAAAAAACTTATCTGAAGTATTTGTCAATCATTCTGTTTAAGTAACAGTGAGGGACCAAACCCAAGGCACTGCTGCCCCTGGGGTCCAGGAGAAACTCTTTGGTTTACATGACTCATCAGACAGATAGAGCATACTCCTCTCACTTCCAGTTTCCCTGAAGGGTTTCTTTATTTCCAAACCAACCCTAAACCTAAACCCAACCTTCTCACCATACCAGCTGAGACAGAAAGGGAGTATTATTTTGTTCCCCAGCTCCCTGCAGCTTTGGTATATTTATTTTTCATTCCTCAGCCCTTCACCACATTGGCAAATGCTCAATGGCCTCTCACTCCTCATCAGCAGAATGGGCTGCTATGCCAGCTGGGGGTCACTCTGCTTACAAAGGGTCTCTGTTTTACCCTTGGAGAATCATGCAAGAATTTCAAAGCACATTTTCTGTAGAATTTAATCATCTATTTCCCTGTAGCTCCTATAAAAGATTGGTTTCTAAAGAGAGAAACCAGAGGAATTCCTATTGGAAAGCAGGGAGCTATATCCAGGTTCTGAGGCCTGTGTTGAATGCACATCTAACTAAAAGTTCTGGGGTATTTGATAAAATTCTCTTTGTTCTGTGATTTCTTCTGGTTTGTGATTTGATAAGATTAGTCCTCCTAAAAGGACCTTGCTGTTTTACTATCCTAACCTACTCCCATGAGTCACTCCACTTGCCAACATCTCAGTTCCCAGCAGAGAGTTTACCCTAGTATTATGGCACAGGGAGATCATCACTGTGAAACAGCAAATTAAAGACTATAACTACCAGTTTCCCTTTCCCAAGATCCATCAGAATATTTTATGTTCCTTACTTCAAGTTTGTCTCATTTTTTTACTTGTAATTTACTTTGTAAATGCCCTGTGTTAAATATCTTGCTGTTGTGGTTTAAGCCACCTGCCCAGCTCTGAACTCCCTGCAAAGTCACTTTCAGGTATCAGCAATCAGTCTGAACAGCAGTCCTAGGTCTGGGCATTGCAGAGGACAGAAAGGGTGCATCCTGTCCCTGTTTTCAAGCCCATGCTGCTCAGCACTTGGTATCTGGACAAAATGAGTTTGTGGGGCTTGATTTCCAAGAGCATACCCCAGACCTGCCCCCTGTGTAAAAGGCAAGGACACATGACGCTATGGCAATATGACACATCTAACACGGATGGGAGACACCCACAGCAGTAGGAGAAGGTTAATATGAAAAAAACATACGGGTGGTCCGTCGTACTGAAGAGAGAGAAGCTGTGAGGGAGAGAGAATTCTCCTCTCTGTCTCGGTCTCCTGATACACCTCTTCGAGCAGGAAGGATAGAGGAAGGTCGTGGTAGAGAGGAACGCTTTTCAGGACTCTTGCTTACTCCATCCTAGTAGTAGCAACATAAAAAAGGAAGGTTTAGTTTTCAAAACTCAAAGATCAATAGGCTGTGATTTCTCTTAACCTGTATAGAAGGGGAAACCTCATCCTATAGGCCCAACTTACCACTCACACAGGAACCTGTTGGGATCCAGCTAGCTCCCATGCTCTGCATAGCTCCCTAGTGCTTGTTTACTGCATCAAAACACCAGTAATCTGATGTACTTAACACAGATACTCTTAGATCTAAATGAATGGATTCCACATTTGTTTCTTAGTAAGAAACAAGGGGTTATTTTACTGCAAGTTGAAGTTAAAGAATTTACTCTCTGGAGCTCAGGTGTGGAATTCTTACATGAATTTACCTGCAAAGTAACTGCAGTACTGGTGCCCAGAATATACCCCACAGAGGTGTGATTTTTTGCATTCTTCAACTGTACCTTGCACTTTCTTTTGGAGAACAAATTTTAGCTACAGCTTATTTTTTCAATTCAGGATTATTAATCCTGGTGTCTTATTTCCTTCCATACTTCTTTTACTATGGTTAGAGCAGTGGACATGTATGTTAGAATATTTCTGAATCTATGGGACACATGGCCAAAGACAGTCTTGCATAAGCAGATAAACAAATATGATGATGGTGCCAAACAGTAAAAGACAGACCAAGCATACTGTTAGCACAGAAAAATGGAAATAAAGAGTGAAAACAGTTTTTCAATGGGGATAGTCATCAACTCAGCATCAAGCAGATGTGAAACACAAGTGAAATGTAAACATGAAGAAGCTAGGATGGACTGCTGAACATCTCTTTCAACTGCAACTTCTTCAGCATGGTCCCATACATAGACCAGACTTGGATCCTAGAGCACTTGGCTTCTGCCCTTACTGCTGGTGATTAGAACTGTACCCTCCTACACTGGGGACTGAATTTGTTTTCAGGGAATATTAACTGATTGAAAGTTAAATTGTTTTAAACTGGGAGGGCACTTTAATACTGCTGTTCTTTGCCACTTACCCACATGCAAATGGGTGCCACTTCTCAGCAGAAGCAGATCCATATAATCAATAGAAAGAAGATATGTTCTTCTAGTTGTAATTTATTTCACTTATGTTTCCTCTGGAGAATCTCCTTCGGTTTTATCCATTTTGTAGCACAACTCTTGTAGCCTAATAATCAATTCTCGTGCCACTGGATGTAAGCTTTGCAGAGAATTACTCAAGATTCAGTAGGTAGAGAATGTGATCCATGGGGTTCATCTATACATCTCCAAGCTAACTCTCTCTACCAACTCTGCTACCTTACCTTAGTATCTGATTTTGAGTAGGGCAAGCAGTCTCTTGGGCCTGCTGAGGAAGGCCGTACATAACAACTGTCTGTATCAAGAAAAGTGGCCCTTTTAGTAGTTAAGGAGCAAGCTGAGCTGGGTCTTGGTGGGAGCAATGACTTTGCTCTAGACTTTGAGGCAGGAATCTTTGACAAAGAGGCAGTCTAGTCATGAGAAAACAAACAAAAGAAAACACAACATGAAGCTGGACAAAAAGAACATACATGCAACATGGAGCAAAAAAAAGAAAAACAAACCACCACCATAACCCAAGCTATGAATGCTTTCCTTGTGTCTGGTAATGGTGTCTATGCAGTTCTGACATGCATGCAACTTTCAGTTCTGTGTTGTTGGACTGAAATCCTCGGGGACTGTACAGTTACTGATTCTAGGAAGTACTTTTTTTCTTCAGATGCTGTATTTGTCTTGTCTTCCTAGGACAAAACTGGTGCCATATATGGCATTTCATTGGTACAGCTGCTGGTTGTCTGCATTAGAAACAAGTGCACAACTACAGGAGCACCAAGAGATCCTAGTCCTTTAAAACCCAGTTGCATTTTTGAAATATATCCCTCCAGGCTACAGTCAAGAATAAAATCGTGGGAATCTTAAAAGCAAAGTTACAGCAGTATTCCCACACTGGCAAAAGGACATGACAGCATTGCTTCTTGTGTGTACACACAAAATCCCTAATGCACCCCTTGGCAATGTAGTCCTGATTCAATCTGTATTCACACTAGCATGAAGATACAAACAGGAGTGATCCCAACAGGTCTGTAATTACAGGATTTGGTACAGAACTTTAACCATGAAAAATCTGGCATTTGAGCAAAGTCAGTCACCTAGACCTTCTCAATGCTCAGAAAAGGTGTATGAGTTACTTCTCAAGTTGTCTGTATTAGAAAATGAGAAAAGAATGGGTTATCCAGCCCTCACAGGCATCTGGCTTAGGCTGCATACCCAGCCCACAGAAATCTGAAGCTGGTGTGCTCAATGTCATCTATGATATCATCAATATAATTAAAAGCTGCAGAACTGTGTAATAAACCATTCCTGTCCTTCAACAGCTGAGATGACTTCTGTTGGTTATCATCATCCATACCAAGTAGCAAGGCAAGAAATTACTTCAAAGGATGGAAGTGCTTCACTAGCAAGAATATATTCCTAGAATGACTTCTGCAACATATTTATGCCTCTTTCTGTTAATACTCGTTTCACTACCTGGGAATAAACAGAATAAAGTCATTAAAAATTATTTTACACAGAAACTGCACAATGTGTGTTTCTGTCACATCAAAGGCTTCTCCAGACTTTGATTTGTCACAGCTCAATTTATGGGTCCCATCCACTTGTGAAACTTGGGGCCATATTTACAAACCTACTAGGGTGGTTACTAATGCTGAATTTCTGGAAGCAGAGTTGGGTGGCCTCAGGAAGCAGACATTCTGCAAACACCTTTCTCCTGTTTTTCTGAACTTTAGCTATAATGAAGCACACACAGTTTTAGGCCCAAATGTTCACTCTGTGGTTTTTGCCTTGTGGGTCATGCAAATGTTTCCCCTAACAAGACTGGAAAGCTTTTACAGATTAATATCCTACGCATGATGTACAGACCTTGTCCTCTTCACTTAAACTGCACACAGTGACCTCCATGAATATGTGCATCTAATGTGGATGCTAAAGATGGACGAGACTGAGATCTTTCAATGGAACAGCTGGGGAAAAGGCATGATCTTGGGCTAACACACTGCTCAAAGGTTATCACAGTCTAGATGCCCTCAGTGTTATTTAGGAAGCAAGTCACTTCTTAGCATCAGCAACAGAAGCAGAATCTTGCCCAAACGGATTTCAGTGACATGCTGAAGGCTGGTAGAGCAAGTAAAGAAACCAAATGTCTCAATCCCTTCCTGCCCTTTACCCAGAAAACTGTTCTTACTCTCTTAGCAATGCATTACCTTTGATCTTTGTTACAATTCATGTTGCTGGAAGTGCTAGCTGTCCACAGGACACATCTATATAACTCTAAGACTCGGGAATTGCTCAAGTTGGGATGCAGAAACCTCACTTTATTTCAGAGGTGTTCCTAACATGACTGATGTTCTCAACATCTCGCTACCACAGGTACACAGCTCCTTCCAGCAGATGGAACTGCTCAGCCTTTCTGAACTTGTTCTGCAAAGCAATAGTAAACTTGTAGTTTGAAGATAGGTAACAAAACTGACTGGGTTGGATGACCTAGCCTTAAGCAGTGGAGAGGACAAAGCTGCATTTGAAGGACATAAAAGCTGAAAATCAGGAAGAAATACAACAAAAAGGAGAGGTCTTTATAAAAGCAGAGGTGAAGCCAAGGCACAGAATAGAAAATGTCTAAGGGTTGTGTAACTGTAGCAATCAGAGAAGCAAAGCAAGAGGAAGAGAAAGTAAGCAGGGAACATCGCTATAGCTGATCTTTTCTGTAAGTTAAGGGGACAGCAGATAATCTGTAGCAAGCAGATAATTTCAGAGAACGATCTTGCAACTTATACTTGGGGTACTCCATGAACACAGATGACTCTGAAAATGGGCTGGTATTGACTTCTTTTGTGAATTGATCATCCCTTAAGAAAAGACAGTAATAAACCATACTGTTGACTCAGACCAGAAACCTGTCTAGGTATTTCTTACTGTACTAGTAAAGAACCTCTAGCAATTTTCCCAGTTACGAGCTGAAATGAGTCAGACCTGAAAACCCACATGAAATCCCAGAATCCATGGCTGAATCCAGGTCTAAATTTCACAGCCTCCTCCAAAGCCTCCAATCAGTTATGCTGCTATCATCATTAAAAACTTTTTATGAGTCATAAACTATGTGTAGCACTTTATGAGGCTGATCTTTTTGTTCCTCAGAGAATTGACTATCTGTTTGAAATAAATCATCCATGGAATACATGAGGAAATTTAGAGGGATCCTAAGGAACTATTTAATTGTTAATGCTGGCTAACAATAGCACAGTGCTGTCAGTGCTATGGATGTGTATTAGCATGTGTCAGTGCCATGTAAAAACCAGTTGCGTAGGGCACAGGGAAAGGAGGTTGGTTTCTTGGGGATTTTGGAGTGATGGGACAGGAGGAGGAGTGTAGGTTCAGCGTGGGAACAGAGTTTGAACACTGCAGTATTTACTGAAGGAAACAACAGAAGAAAGCCAGACAGAGGGAGCAGAACAGGCTGAAGAGCAGCTTAAGGCAGGACACGTAACTGTTAGGTTGAATCACCAGCAGAAATCAGCAGTCCAGGAGACGGTCATTCAAAAAGCATTTAATTGCATATAAAATGCTACCGGCCAGTACAGGCAAGAGCTCTGCAGAATGTATGGCTATGAAGCGGTGCATCATACACCCAGTGAGTCCTGGGGGAGGATTTCTGCCTATGTAGCAACTGAGCAAGGTGGCTGTATGAATCGGATGCTGCAGAAAGGGCCAAGGTACACAGTTCATCCCAGGATGACAACTGTGTGCAGCCTGTGTGCCCCTATGAATCTGCAAACTGTCATCACCTACCACTTGGAACTGTAATTCAGGTTATTCAGGAAAGGTGGTTTTAATTACTCTTTTAAATGAATAATGAATATGGCAAACAAATTCTAACTGGAACACAAGTTTTAAATGGAACACACGTTTTAAATGGAACACACAATTACTGAATTAACACAAAAAGATCTGAAATAAGGACAAAGGAGATTATAAAGATGAATGATGATTTTACTCACTGAGAGTTTTTCCTTTGCTTGTTTAAATACACCAGGAGCCTGGTTTGTTTCACCACCTGCTGCTGAGAGACCCAAAGAAAGACTTGAGAGTTAAAAACAATAATAATAAGCTTAATACACTTGTTAGAACAATTAAATGCCTTGGAACTACTGTGCAAATCAAGTACTTTGTGAATTACTTTCAGTGAACTGTATACAGAAATGTACCTGCCTTAAACATGTCCTATACTCGAGATAAAATGGTAGTCTGCACATTTCAAAGTTTTGTATCCATGTTTCTTGAAGTCTAGAAAATACAGTAAAATGTTCAAGAAATAACTGACAAGTACAAGAAGCTTTGGTTATGAAGGCACAGATGCCTTTGCAACCTGATTTTCAGGACTATCCTCTAAAAATCAGGCTCCTTTTAAGTAATCCACAAATGAAAATGTTGAGAGACCCTAAAATCACCAGTTTTCAAAATGTTAGGTAAAACTCCTCATGGGAAGAGAGAGCTGCACTGTTGAATTATCATCCTAGTTGCGTCAACAAGGTCCGTGTGCCATGGGTCAACTAAGGCCCCAGACTTCAGCAATTCAAATTCTATCTGTGATTTCAAGTATGTTAATTTAGTGTTTTGTTTATTTGATAGAACATAGTTTGAGGTAAGACTGTGCTCTCTGACTTGGATTCCCTCCTTATGAAAAGTTTTGGAACAAAGCAGCTTTTTGGAAAGCAGGTTATTAGTTTCACCCCAACACTGCTGCTCAGGAAGTGATCTGCCACACAAAAACAGAAGTGAAATCTTTCGGCATCTGTGCCAGGATGTCCTTAGTAAATGTAGAGGCAGGACAGTCATCACAGGTGACAACCTTCTGACAGTAAACCCAACTGTCTTCCAACTGTAACCCAACCACAATGCATCATACAGGACAGAGCCAATTCATTTTCTCCTTTCCCTGTGCAGTTCCCAGGCATGGTGAGGAGACCATTGGTTTTCTGCAACACTTCCCACTCTAGTTCTGCCATCTTAATAAAATACTTATTTAATAAATTGAAGAAGTAGGGGAGAAAGCTTTTGAGGAGGAAAAGAATGTAACTGTGTACTTCAGTTCTGGATTCATAAGAGGGATGAGTACAGCACAGTCCTCCTGCATCACATTTTACCGCATCCGTTACTGCTGGGTTTGTTCTGGTTTGCATCTCTTCTAAATAATCACAAATAGCATCCTTCCTCCTTCTCTTGGCATGGAGCCCTAACCAGCCACCACCATGAAGTGGAAAGACTAGCTGTGCTGCTTGTGTGGACTTACCTTGAGAGCACCACAACTTCTCCATCTGAACAAAACATCTCTAAAGGCACTGCTGCCAGTTTAAATACACAACAAACGTGTTCTACCTCAGGGGGTAACCCCAGAATTGAAGACAAGGAACAGAAGTGTATCACTTAGTAACTCCTACTCATAGCCAGGTAATGGTCTGAGTCTTGCCACTGTAAACACCCCTCTGATGGCACAACTACAGTGGCATCTTACAGCCACTAACAAAACACCAGTCAAAACTGGGGTTTCATTCATGAACCTACACCAGCCAAGGCAAAGACTTTTACAAGCCTTTCCTCAGAGGTGGCCATGAAGTTTCTTTTTCAAATGGCCCAGGTGAGTCTCTTAAAAAGAATATCCCTTGTGGATATGGCACTGAAAGTTACCAGTATTTGCCAGTGCTCACCAGTGACATGGGAATTTTTTTCTGGTGTTGAGGGGAAATGGGAAAGATGTCATTTCCCTGGCCACTGTGTAGAAAATATGAGCAAGTATTTTTTGTAGGCACTTATATGTTCCAATTTAAAGTCATAGTAAATGAAACATGGAGGTTTTCACTGACTGCAACTCAAAAGTTATACAGACTACACTGTTCAGGGACTTCCAGTGACAGACCATTGGCCAGGTATCACTAAAGCTGACAAGACTATTCCAAATAGGACACAGTGACAGTTAAAAATGGCTTCAAGAAACAGCGCTATATTTTACATAATAGTGGGAGAGAGACAATGTCCCTCAAAATTACAGATCCTGGAAAGAGCTAGTGAAACACGAGATATTTTTCACATTGTTCACATTGTGGTGCAGTTCAAGCTCTCCTGCTTTAGAGCCCAAGCCTCAAAGTTCAGCCCTCATTACTGAAGATTTTATGATCAATCTGGCTCCATCATTTGTTGGTTGCTTTCTATCTCAGTATTTAAATGTACCAGGAATTCATTTTTCTATTACATTCTTCATTTTGACTAAAATATCTGCTGCACTATGTACTGGAGTGAGAGAAAAGCAGCTCTGACAGTTGCCAGGCAGCACACGTTTAAGGCACCAGGCAGATTCCTTATGCAAGTCTACTGGTGTGACTCAGGCCTCTGCAGGACACTATGGGCCAGAAGAGTTCAGAGGAGTTATTCGTAAAGTGAAGGCAAGACAGCACCAACCACATGGCTGCAGAAGGGTAGGCAAAGGTGGGAACACTACAGAGCCAACGCTTCCCCCCTCCCCCCATTTCCACAGCTTACTGAACTCCTTGGGTCTTTTGAAAGAATATGTGAATTATAGGTCATAACTTCTGAGCTGATCAAGCTGTCCTTCAGCAAACTGTAAAAGGGAGTTACAGGAGTTGTTCTAATGCTTTTTAAAGATTCCTCTCTCCTTGGTACTCTGGTCCAGGTGCAAGTTAGGACAGCCTAGAGACTGCAAACTGAGGAGGAGTCATCACAGCAGCACAGAAGGGTCTGGATCAGCCTTTCATTCCCGGGCTTCATTTCTCATGGGGGAAGCAAGAGGAAGTAAAAGGACCAGATTCCCCCAGAGGAGCAAGGCGATGGGACTGAATATTTAGTTCTGTTTTCCTAATGGAATACAATCAGCAGACAGTACAAACTTCATACAGTTGAGGCATGACATTAAAGGTACCCTTGTATAAGTATCTTGAGACTGATCTGAATTTGGAACAGGAGAGACTCACTGGTACAAAACTGAATAGGAGTGACTTCTTAGGAAGGACACTTTTGGTACTGCACTGTGTAACTATAGGATGGGTAATCCTGTTCTTCATTTCTAAGCTATGAGAAGAGGCTCATGTAGTTCTACATTGCTGTGCATGGTTCTTCTCTTAGTAGCCCTGGTTACACTCTTGAATAACTGCACTGCAGCATGCGGCTGTGTTACATGACAGAAAACCTCACCTCTTTTAACAATTTCTTTGTTTTAAGATCACCAACAAAGTAAAGATGTTCATCTTTCCACCCTGAACTCACAGTAACAATGAATAATATGATGAAAGTGCTGAAAATATTCTTTTTGGTTTGCTAAATAATGATACACCTATCAAGCTGGAACAGGAATCATTTGTTTCATCCTTTCATCTTCCTCTACCAAATATTAAGATTTGTGCTTGGAATGCATTCGTAGTGTGAGCCCAGATTTCTTCTCTCTCAGCTTCACGCTGCGTGTGGCTGGATTCTCCCTGTGGATTTTGACTGTACAGCAGAAACATCAGTGACAGATTGGGAAGTGTCAATATAGATATCATCAATTAACAAAATATAACTCTGAAACACTTCTTATTATGCATGAGAGTAAAAAAGCAAAGTAATGGAAATGCATCCCATGGTTGAAGCTGTCAACATTTTCCCACCAGAAAAAAAAAAAGGCATAATTAAAAAAAAAGAACAAAAAAACCAAAATGATGAGTAGGGATTCCTACAACACCACACTATAAGCATGATGCCAAGTTACAACCACAGCACTTGGAGGTCCAAGCAATGACAAGCATACATGATCATGGCCTCCAGTAAAGAAATAAACCAAAACCAGGAAAGAAAGAAGAAAAATGATACAAGCCACAAAAAAAAAAAAAAAAAGAAGCAATACTATTTGTGAAGACTGATATTCTTGGAGGAAGAAATAAAAAACAGAGAAGCTGCTATAGCCATGAGAGTTACAAAAAGAAAAATGTCTATGTTTGCCAGCCACATTGCATAACTGAACAGAACGCAGTCACCTGTCTGCTTCCGTTTAACACAGGAGAGATGAGTTGGTCTAGTATATTTGATAGCAGGTTTTAAAATGATTTTCCTGGAAGGAGAGTGGGTCTGAACCTCAGTTTTTTTAGCAAGTTCAGCTTTCTTATACACTGCTATGGACAAAAAACACAAAAACATAGAATCAGGAAAAGAACCCAGCAAACAATTTCATGACAATACATCAAGCAGCAGGCCCACTGCTCCACCACTTCAACCCAACGCATCGCTTCTACCAGGGTGAACAAAGCCTAAGTAGGAAAAGGGGGGACCACTGGTGCATTAATGTCAGGTGTGCCACCCAGTGGTCAGTGGGGATGCCTACAGTGAAATGGGGCCGGTGGAGCAGTGAGCCTTGCACATTGGCTTTTCATAAGAGTTGTACACTATCTCATGAGAAAGCACCACCGCTAATACGGTTACGGTGCACATCATCTACAACAGACTAACCAGATAGTACTGTACAACAGTAAAAAAGTAAATAAATAAAAATATATATATTGTAATAGGGAGTGTTAAATGAACCTTTTTTCCTTCTCACTTCATCTCTGGAGAGTGTGCTAGGTTCCTTTTTAGCTATTTTCCTTTCAGGAGTAGAAATCCTGCCTCTCCCAGTTTTAAAAGGTTTCTCTTTTTTATGCTTATCGAGAGATGATCTTCGCAATTCTCTCTCTGCCTTCTCCTCTTTAGGAACAGTCTCTAACTGTTCAGTCATGATGCTCCTATCATCATCTGTAGGATCAGAGGAAATTATAACAACAAACAAAAGATTAGTAAAAAATGTTAACAATACTGAGGTGGAGCAGGGAAAAATAGTTGAAGACAGAGTAGGCATTAATAGAAAAAGGCAGACTGTTTTACCATTTTTCTGAAACATGCTGAGATTACTGTTATAACTATAATAATCTTGCTCTTTGATCATTATGATTTGAAAGCAAAAGTATTTAACAGACAAAACAGAAAGGATAATGCACACCTTGAGTATCTGCCCAGAGACTGTCTGTGTCCATGACGGATTCATCGATTGTTGTTTCATCTTTGTAATCGTCACACGTCTCTGTCTTGTAGTCAGTGAGTAGGATTTCTTCTCTCTGGGGTGAAGCAGGAGCTTCTGGGGAGCCCTCCTTGGGCTCAACTTGAATGTCTGCCATTTCCTCAACCTCCAGCTCCTCTTCAGCCTGGGAGTCCCCTGTTTCAATGTCTTCCTGCTGAGTAGCAGCAAAGCGCACACTGTGAGAAGCAGATTCACCCTCATCAACTGTTGTCTGGACCACTGTGATAAAGTCATCCTCTACTGTCACCACTGATTCAATAATGCCCTTCAGTTCAGGCAGTGCTTCTGGGCTGCCCTTGGCTAGCATTTCTTCAGTAGTAGGTTTCCCAAAGTCTGTTTCTGAGGGCATTTCTGATATGAGATGCTGTTTATCTTCTTTGATTTCTTCTAGCCCTACCTCTTCTTCCTCATGTTCTTCCTCTTTTGAGGCCCCAGCTGTCACTTCACATGGCAGCAGATTTTGGACTTCCATAGGTTTCACAGCTGTATCAGGAGTCTTTTCAGTTCCTTCTGCAGGCTGTGGTATACTCTCCATCTGAATCTCAGCAGGCTCTTCCTGGAGAGGCTCAGCTTTTGGAAGGAGGAGCTCCATAGAAGGCTCCTTTGCTGGTAACTGTGCAGGCAGCTCTTCATCAGACACAGGACGCTTTGCAGGTTCTGCTTTGATATCCTCTGGTTTCAAGGATTCTCCATTCAAACTTTCTTGGCCTTGGTCATGCTCTCCACTAGATTCATAAGACTCTTCTTTATCAACTGCCTCTTGATGTACCAGATCGGGCTTAGTTACTTTTTCTTTAATTTCTGTTTCTGACAGTTTGCTGCTGTCCTTCACATAACTAGGCTCGATCTTGGAAAGTACATCTGCATCCTTTGCTTCTCTGGACAAGATGGTCTGATCTTTCTGTTGAGTATCTTTGGGTTCAGGCTCTGCTCTTTTAACAGAGGCTTTGTCCTTCCCTGACAGGAGAGAAGTAACCTCGCTAATCTTAGCTTCTAACTGACTCTGATATTCTTGGTCAGCTCTCATTGCAGCCACTTCCATATCATGCTTTATAGCATTGTAATCCGGTTTAATTGGAGCTTCTACCTCAGCTAACTCAGGAACAACACAAAGAGTCTTCTCCTCCTTCTCTATTGATGAAAAAACAGCACCTTTTTCTACTGCTGTCTCGGAAGCTGATATTCTGTCATACATGGTATCGCCAGTTACATGAACTTTATCAGCCACACTTTCCTCTTTCATTTCTAAGATTGCCTCAGGTCTTGTCTTCTCCGGCTCTGCACCTTTAATGAGACAGACCTCTCTAGAGTCAAGATGATCTTCATTTTTTTCTAGCACAGTATCCAGCTTATCTCTTTTTTCCTGCTCAAAGTCCCTCGCCAGAACAGACTCACCAGTGGCATGCTGACCTAAGTCTTTTTCACTGAGGAATTCTTTGGATTTTTCAGCTGCTGCCAGCTTCACTTCTATCAAAGACAGGTCAGGAGCTACGCCGCGTCTCAGTTTCTCATCTGTGCCTTCATAAAACGGACAGGTTTCACTCGTCAAATTCTCACTGTCCTGAACTGGAGAAGGGAGTGGGACTGTGTACTTATTAAAAACACAGTAGCCCAAGTCTTCTAGCTGACTTTCAGCTTTGAGAGTCACGTGGTTTTCATCTGTCACAGGGGGCAGGGCTGTGCTGCTGTCTTCTACAATAGTGTCAGAAGAAACTGATTTCTTCTGTGCCACCTCAGCATCTGCACTCACAGAGGCTAACCTAGATCTTGTCCCTGCTAAGTCTAACATTTCAGGCAGGTCAGGAGCTAGGACAGCCCCATTTTTGTAATAATCTTTGGCCAGGAAAGGTGATTCGGCCACAGTCTCAGGCTGGACTTTTTCTTCTGCCATTGCTTTTTCTTCTTCAATATGTTCATCTTCCTCTCTACTATCAATAGGGAAACAGGGAGCCTTCTCCAGTGCTGGTGTGGTTGCTGGCAAGTAGTCATCACCTTCATCCATACTGCCACTAGTGTTAGTTAGAATATCTGAAGCAAGGGGAGAAAGATCATGTGCACGACCAAAGCTAAATCCTAAAGCTATGGAATCCAGGCAGGACATGGGCAAGTTAATAGACATACTTCTCTGTTCAATTGCGGATCTGCCCCCAAGTCCCAGGCTCCTACTCAGAGTTAGGTCATCTTTATTTTTACTGTGGAGTTCTCTCTTATCCCCATAGACTTTGGGGTCAATTGTGAACATTCGTTCTGTTGGGGAATTCGGCTCTTCTGACTTGTCTGGTGTAAAGCTCTGAGCCAGGGTACTGTACCCTATTTCATGAGCAGGTGCACTCTGCTGCTGATCCAATTCTGTCTGCAGTTCTTCCTCCTCTTCTTCTTTGTCTTCAGGTATTAGACGATCTGTCTGATAAGGCTCATAGACACTCTCTTTGGTGTCACTTAGCTCATAGTAATCACTGCCTTGTTTCAGAGCATCTGCTTTGAAGGCTTCCTCTTTCAAAGCAGAGGTTTCAAAGTACTTTGACATTCCTGATCGATCCTCCTCTTCTTTGGTTTGAGGAGCTGAAACACTTGTCTTATCTTTTTTAACATCTTTCTCTTGAGAAGCTTCCATAGTAAGAGTCTTGTCAGTGGTTAAACTTGGTGCCTCAGGGGCTCTCTCTGTTACTCTGGATAGCTGAGTGCTATCAGGGTGCTCTACTGTTTTCTCAAGGGTCAGTTCATGGCCTAACTTGGCTGGGAGTACGTGTGTGCTTGGCTGCGCTTCCTTTTTCATGTCTACTGTTGCTGGGAGTCCACTTTGGTCCATTTCTTTTTCTGCTGTGAAAATATCAGGTGACTTTTTAGCTTCACCAGCCTTTTGAAAGTCTGCTTTGTCTAGGAAAAGTGCCTTAATTTCAGGTTCTGTGGTCAGTTTACCACCATCTAATGCTTGAGCATCCCCTTTATCATAGAAGTCATACCTTTCTTCTTCATCACTCTCATCCTTGGTCATGTCCTTTTCCTCCCCCCATGCAGGGATTTTCTGGGTGCTTGGCGTTTTCATGCCATCTACAGTTACTGCTGAGACTTCCTGCAGAGCTAGCGTCCTGTCTTTAGTGAGATCTTTGGCAAACAGTTGGTCTGTGGGTTCTTGTTTTGTTTTGGAATTGTCTTCAAGTGGAAGCTCCTGGGGGACAGCAGGAGACAGACCTGAAGGAAGTTCACTTTTGACTCCTTCTGCCTTGAATTCTGATAGCAATAGAGAACTTTCACCATGGCTGATGGGACGATCTCGGACATCTTTAAGATCATCTTTAAATGTCATAGACATAGCTTGGCTGGATGGTGGAGGCATATCTGCAGTCCTTTCTTCTGTTTTGCTCCCTTTAGGCAGTTCAAATGACAAGTCCTTTTGTTCTTGAGAAGCAGGAGGCTTGGCACCAGGTTCTGCAAAACTGGCTTCCCCTTTCTTTTGTGAATCAGTTTCCAAGATCTGTTCTGATAGAGGTGAAGGCATTTTTTCGGTGTCTTTGCTCTGTGAATCCTTTTTCTCTATAGCCTCTGTTTTTGATGGCTGTGGAACTAAGGCATCGTATTTAGGTTTCTCACCAGTCTTACTGTCTTTCCCAGATTCATGTTGCTTTGTGTCTAATGGTTCTGCTGCGAAAGGGCGTGCGCCCTCCTGGACACGGAATTCCATCTTCGTGGCTGCAAGTAAATCTGAAGTAGTTTGTTTGGGTTTTATAACAAGATTATTTAAAGCACTTACAGGCAGGCAGTCATGTGGCTTACAACAAACAACATCTTGGTATGAATGATGGAAAGCAAAGGGAGAAAGATGCAAACATGCAGCAAGGCCATCCACTTAGAAATCTGTTTTAAAGTGTAAAATCCTAGTTTCCTTTCAATATATGAGGTTTTATAGTGAAAATGTGAGTTGAACACATATAAATATGTGACCACTGAAATGAGATGATTTCATGTGATTTCTTCATTTCATGGTTTGTACACAACAGCAAAACCACAAGTAATCCTCACTTCCCTGGTATGCTTTGATGGACTCTTGTAGCTTATGTTAGATTTGCAGTAGTCAAGTCTGCAAGATTAATTAAGTCCAATCAATGGTATCTTTGTATGGTGCTGACATTTAAAACATACACAGTTATACATTTTTCTATCCTTTTTACATTTTTCTTCTACATGTAGCCTAAGACAAATAAATATTGCACACAAAAGGGTTTACAAGTGTCAGAAGAGGCTGGGGATTTAATCCTACCGATTTTTGACATTCAGTCTTTGGCAAATGACAAAAATCTCACTGCTGTCATGAAACCTGTATGTGCAAATCAGCAACTGAGCTTTTAATAGTCCCAGATCTTGGAGGTCTAGTCTTCAAAATGGACAGCTATTTTCAGCTCTAGCTGAAGTCAACGAATACATGGCTTGTTTCAATGACTGTACGTCAGGCCCTAATTAAATTAATTTGAAACAAAAAATGCTGCTCTTATTGTCTGCCACTATATTTTTAGGGAATAATATCTAGTTGTTGGGGTTTATTTTATCTGCATTCTGTTATCATTAATAGCTTGGTTTTTTTTTAATGTCTTATGGAAAATAATGATTTCCATCCTACAGAAATCTTCCTATCATGGAAAATATGAAGCCAGACACTGCAAAATGTGGCAGAACTTTCTGCAGTGTGATCTGTAAAAAAAGTTTTATGAGTGGTTTTCCAAAGCTTGTTACAGCAAGCATTGGGCTGACTCTGAATCTCTTTGTCTCTGATTTCAAGTCTGCAGAGCCACCTTTTTACTTTGATGAATCAAAATTTTTTAGACCAATTAATACCAAAGCATTGGACATTCTTTAAATATTTCCATACATTAACATTTAATCAAAATGGCAACTGCCATTCAAAACTCTACAGGTAGAAAAAACAGAGGTCTGCTACAGTAATTTTGCTCCTTTATATTTTTACATTTGGTACATTTGACAGTCCCATGAAGTATAAAAATATGGCCAGTGAGCCCATGTTAGTCTTGTTTCACAGGAATTAAATAGCTAGATACTGGCTTTCTTTATGTATCCTACTGTGCCTCTTACTGTAGTGCAAATGAACAATACCAATGACATCAAAACATAGTCTCACTGCCAAGAGAATTTAATATTCTTTAGCTGGGCCAGCCAGAACACCAGCCTCCCAAATGCAGCATTTCTTAGCCAGGTAGTGAATGGGTACATTACTACTCCACACAGTGTGTCTTTACACTCTGTTGCGCTGGCTGCAGAGAAATACCATTAAAAAATAGCCTAGTTCTTACATACTGAAATATGACTTCAGTAAATATTTTGCTGAGTGAGCAGATCAGAACTTCACCCTACGACCCCAAGCTACTGAATTGCTTCACTATGAAGGCAAACATCCCAGTGGAAGTGATGGAGGTTTTGCCAAAGAAGGTCATTCCAGCAGGGTTAAAAATTTGTGATAAGGTAAGACACAAAAAATCAGAGTTCTGTCAATGACTGAGGAGAGGAAGGGTAGGCTTCGATGAATGGCAAGGATATGACATAAAAAGCAATAGCTTTAGGGAAGCTAAACCAGAATGCACTGAAGCACACACACAAAAACCCAAAACCAAACAAAAAACCTGCAGACTGCAAATGAAAACATTTCTAGAGTTTAAGCCTCTTTATGTCATAATCAAAGTCAATAAATCTACTTTTTGAAAGAAAAGCAGATGAATCTCTGCACCAAAAAGAAAAAAATGTACATAGATTAGCAATGTGACTGGCAAACACATCTGAGATGGGGGAAAAAGGCTTAGGCAGAGGAATCAGCTTAGCTGCAAAGCACATTTTGTCATGGCAAAGTAAAAAATCAGGAATCAGCCGCAGTGGTGGGAAACCATGTTGTCATACGACACCTATGCAATCATATTATCTGCTACACACTCTTCAAGCATAATAACAAGAGCAGTCATAAATGGGAAGAACAGGAAATGAAGCAGCCTTGGAAAGCACTGGAGAAAGCTGAAGGATTCACTGGCAGCAAACACATGCAAACCTAAGGAGGACACACCTTCCTCAGCTGAGGAAGGGGATGTGTCTTTTAGGAGTATTTCCGCCACAACAGTTACACTCTCCCTGCTGGATGCCACACTTGGCACTTTGTCTTCATGACACACTTTGGCCTCCAAACCAGAATCCGACTGACCCTTACAGAGGCCTTTTGTCTGGTCCGAAGGCTCAGTGGGCCCATGCTCTTTCCCCAATTGCTTCCCTGGAAGAGCAGCAGGTTTCGCTTCCACAGCCATCAGACTCTTTACTGGTTCTTCTTCTTGGGGATGGAAAAAGGAGGTGACATCAACACCAACAGTAAACACCAAGCACACAGCTTAACAGGACTGCTTTTACATAACACTTTCAGCTCTGAATATTTTGGATGTAATTGTGTCAAAGGACAGCTAGTATCCAGCCATTTTAGTCATTGTGGAACTGAATTTTCCTTAAGGTAAAAGCCAAACCAGAAACCCATCTCCCCCACAGAAACATGATTATGCTGTAAGATGAGAACTGAAAGTGTTTTACAGGTATACCTCTCCCAGAGATGACTGGGGGTCAAACAGTCATTGCAAATGGAGATGGTATTGAACGATGGATGGCTCTGAGAACACCAACGCATCAATGATCTCAAAGTACACTGGTATTTTTCTGCTAAATGCTCTGTTCAGTCCAGTACAAGACATTCAACTGAGGTGGAGGAAGGTATGAGGCATTAATTTCTTTCAACTGACCTTGGCAACACAGATTGCTAAATGCCAGCTAGTCAATCTACCATATGAATCCTGGATTTGGTAAAACATGAAGCCCCTTCCATAGGCTTAATAAGCCCTGTGCATAGCTGATAGCTAATGGTTTCACAAGAATTCAGCCCAGAGTCCTACACTGAGCAGGTTTATAAACAATTACACCCCTAGGCTGCCTGACATCTGAGCTCTATGTGTGAAAAATCAGTTTTAACACCAGGACTCTTCATTTCCCTTCCCGTTTCCCCACCAGCCCCTAGGCTCCTTGTCACCAATTAAATCAAAGAAACCCACGAATGCAATATAGCTACTTGTTCATCTGTATTTATGGTAGCATCAACTTTACTCATGCCATGTCAGAAGAATGATTAGAAAAGTCTCCATTCTGGACCGTACTCCTGCCATTGCTTCTCAGACAGAATACTACTGTGCTCTATAAGTGTCCCTTCCAATAAGAATTCAGGATTCAGTGTGAAAACTTTGATTCAGCAACATACTTAAGCAGCTGATCAGCAGCCATGCTGCAGTCAACCTGATGACCTCTTTGGGTTTAATGCAAGTCTTACGATTAAGGGCTTTACTGAATCAGACTTAAAACAAAGTGGCTTCAAAGCTGGCAGTGGCTGTATCCAGCCTCTTGGCATTGAAGTAAAACCTCTTTACTAGGGCTTGATTTTTCTCCTGAGTCTGGGCTGACAAAGAACACACCATTAACAATCCACTTCAGTTATGGCCTTTAAAAACTGATTTAGGGAACATAAACACTGAGGCTGAGAAAATATTACTATGTAAAGTACAACACATTATTAACAACATATAAAAATGTAATTAAGGTTAGATGCTATATCTTAAATGAACAGAAGACAGAAGATTCAGAATCAGAACTAGACTGTTACAAGGATATTGATGCATGGGCAGATTACAGAGGCAGCCTGGCAGAACAGGAGATGTCCAACTACAAGAGGCCCTGACTTGAATAACTTGCTTTACTTTTCTTTTTCTGATTTTATCAAGTTTTGTATGTGCATCTCTTTCAGTTAAACAGTCCTAAGGAAAGCCTCTCATTTTACTCTGAGCAATTTAATCTGTACACCTCCATTTCCTGAGACACTTCACACAATGTGCCATGATTAAAACTAATTACTCACCACAGCAGAAAGTTATCCCTGTCTTAACAAAGGAATCCTAGAGACTGACTTTGTACAGCAGACTCTTTAATGCCAAACAGGCTGCTAGCTTACAGGCAGCAAGTGAGGAGGGTTGTTTCATAATGTCCATCTTTTCACTGATGATCCACCTTATTTCCCAGTTTTTTCTCTCTATTCCTCATAGGTGTTCTGAGACTTTCCACTTTCACCAGAGATAGATGCATATGACTGAAAAGGAAGCTGACCAAGAGCTAACCAATCCAAGAGTGCTCCAAGTACAGCTACAGGCACCCAGACACCTTTTGCTGCCTCCCCTAGCTTCAGGCAGACGTGCCGACTTTAACAATCTTCAGTCATTAGCATTGATCTCTTTCTGGCTCTGTTGCATTATGAAGCTATATTAACCTGGTCTTGTGAGGGAATGGTGCACAATGGGCAGGGCTGCACTCGGTGCTCCGTGGTGGAGGTCCTCCTGCAGCAGGTGGCTGAGCTGTGGGATGCTGTTAATAGACTGCGAGATGTCAGGGAAGCTGAGAGTAAGCAGGAATGCTTGCTCCTGGCCCAAACTGTGCAGGGGCCTCGAGCTTCACCTCTAGGTCATGAAGGAAAGAAGGAGGCCGTTAACGTGGGAAGCTGGGAATTAGTGACAAAAAAAAAAAACAACAACAAAAAAAAAAGAAGGAAAAGGACAACCAAAAGCAAGGCTAAATCCCCTGTCCCCACGCAGAACCCCTTTGCTGTCCTGCAGGGGGCTAATGAGTAAACGCACTCGAGCCAGAAACAGCCGGCTGATTCCCTGTAAAGATCTCTACTGGTGCTGCTAGAAAAAAGCGGTGGGTCATAGTAGTAGGGGACTCTACACTGAAAGGGACAGAAGCACTCGTCTGCCGGCCAGACCCCGTCTCAAGGGAAGTGTGTTGCCTACTGGGGGCACAGATCAGGGATGTGGCAGAGAGGCTGCCTGCTCTAGTAAGTCCCACGGACTATTACCCACTCCTGGTGATACATGTGGGTGCTAGGGATATAGATAGTAGTAGCCTGGGGAACATAAAGAAGGACTACAGAGCCCTGGGGGAGGTGGTTAGGGGCTCTGGAGCTCAGACAGTCTTTTCATAAATTCTCCAAGATACAGGGGAGGACCTAAAAAAAGCTAGAAGGATTAGCCAGGTTAATAAATGGTTAAAAGGGTGGTGTCCTAGTCAGGGGTTTGGGTGTCTTGAACACGGGACCCAAGTTTGGAGGCCAGGTCTAGTGGGGGCTGGTGGAGCAGGTCTGATAAAGAAGGGAAAGAGCAGTTTTGGTAGGAGGCTTGCCAGACTGGTCAAGGAAGCTTTAAACTAGATGTGTTTGGGGAGGGGGGCATCATTCCATTCCAACACAACCAGTCAGTTGCCAGAAACTATAATAAATGCTTGGAGCAATGTAGAGATATCCCAGCTGCTCCAGCCAATGAGCCAGCTTCATTTGGAGCTCAGCTCAGATGCCTCTATACAAATGCCCGTAGCATGGGGAACAAACAAGAAGAATTAGAGATGTGTGCACGTCTATGGGGGTATGATATAATAGGCATCACAGAAACATGGTAGGATGGCTCCTATGACTGGAGTGTTGGAATGGAAGGTTACAAGCTCTTTACAAAAGACAGGCCTGGCAGGTGAGGAGGGGGAGTTGACCTTTATGTTAGGGATAGGCTGGAGAGTATGGAACTCTGTGCGGGGACAGGTGAGCGGTTAACAGAGAGTTTGTGGGTCAGGGTTAAAGGGAATATAGCTATGGGAGACATTACTGTGGGGATCTGTTACAGGCTGCCTGATCAAGGAGAACCTGCAGACGAAGCACTCCATAGACAGATAGGAAAAGCCTCACGCTCCGCAGGCCCTTGTTCTCATGAGTGACTTCAACCACGCTGACATCTGTTGGAAGGACGGTACGGCCCGGCACAAGCAATCCAGGAGGTTCCTCCATTGTGTGGAAGGCAACTTCCTTCTGCAAGTAACAGAGGATCTGACAAGGAGATGCATGACAAGGTGCCATGCTTGACCTCGTGCTCACCAACAGGGAAGGGCTCGTTGGACATGTGATGCTCCAGGGCAGCCTTGGTTGCAATGATCATGAGATGGTTGAATTTGAGATCCTCAGGACAGTGAGAAGAGCGTGCAGCAAGCTCACTGCCCTGGACTTCAAAAGAGTAGACTTTGGCCTCTTCAGGAACCTGCTTAGTAAGGTTCCATGGGATACAGCCCTAGAGGGCAGGGGAGCCCAGGACTGTTGGTTGATATTCAAGGATCACCTGCTACAAGCTCAGGAGTGTTGCATCCCAACCAGAAGGAAGTGCAGCAGGAGGGCCAGGAGACCTCCTTGGATGGGTAAGGGGCTCCTGAGGAAAATTCAATTGAAAAAAGAGGCTTATAATAAGTGGAAGCAAGGACAGGTGGCATGGGAAGAGTACAGGGATGTTGTCCGAGAAGCTAGGGACCAGGTTAGGAAAGCTAAGGCCCAGTTAGAATTAAACTTGGCTACAGATGTTAAGGATAACAGGAAGGGATTCTACAGGTACATAGCAAATAAAAAACAGACTAGGGAGAACGTAGGCCCCCTCAGGAAGCTCTCGGGAGAACTGGCTACACAGGATTTGGAGAAGGCTGAGGTTCTGAATGACTTCTTTGCCTCGGTCTTCACTGGCAAAGGCTCTGACAAAACCACCCAAGTCTTGGAAGGCAGATGCAGGGACTGTGAGAATGAAGACCTTGCACCCACTGTAGGAGGGGAACTGGTTCGAGACCATCTTAGAAACCTGAATGTGCACAAGTCCATGGGTCCTGATGAGATCCATCCACAGGTCCTGAAGGAGCTGGGGAATGAAGTTGCTAAGCCACTGGCCATCATATTTGAGAAATCATGGCTGTCAGGTGAAGTTCCCAATGACTGGAAAAAGGGAAATATAACTCCCATTTTCAAGAAGGGGAAATTGGATCACCCATGGAACTACAGACCAGGCAGTCTCACCTCTGTGCCTGGCAAAATCTTGGAGCAGATTCTCCTGGAAGGCATGCTAAGCACATGAAAATCAACAAGGTGCTTGGTGACAGCCAGCATGGCTTCACTAAGGGGAAATCCTACCTGACCAATTTGGTGGCCTTCTACGATGGGGCTACAGAAGTGATGGGCAGGGGTAGAGCAGTTGATGTCATCTACCTGGACTTGTGCAAAGCATTCGACACTGTCCCCCACAACATCCTTGTCTCTAAATGGGAGCGACATCAATTTGATAGGTGGATGGACCACTCGGTGGATAAAGAACTGGCTGGACGGCCGCACACAAAGAGCTGTGGTCAATGGCTCAATGTCCGGCTGGAGACCAGTAACGAGTGGTGTCCCTCAGG